TGAAGATGTGTGGACTTCAACTCCCAGAATTCCCCAGCCAGCATTTTTCCTCTAAGCCAGTGTTCCTCAGCCTGAACAGCTTTAAGATGTGTGGACTTCAATTCTGGGCATTGAAGTCCACACATCTTAAAGCTGTTGAGGTTGAGGAACCCTGGTTTAGACCTGACTTCAAGTCCACACGTGAAGACTTGACTTCAAGTCCACACATCTTCAAGTGGCCAAGGTTGAGGAACCCTGGATTAGTATATTGGGCAAACCCAGCTGCCATGTTGGATCCAGTGCATTGTTCCCAAAGTGTGGTCCTAGGATGTCTGGGGTCCCCCAAGACCCTCTCGGGTCCACGAAATCAAAATGTTGAAAAATAATACAATATTAAAACCCTTTCCAGTAATCGTGAGAAGCAGTAGCAGCAGTGAATGCATCCATTTGACTTTTTAATACTCCAAATATCGATAAATATCACCCTTACAAACAAAAGCTCTTTTGGGGTGCTCCGTCATTTTTTAAAGCGGGGAGGGGGCCGAGAGCAAAATGTTTCAGAAAGACTGATCTAGGGCAAGGGTTGAAATTAAAGAATGGGTTAAGCTGAGGTTAAGGGGGTCCTTATTTGCTTCGTATTGCCGATCCTACTCCACCCCCCTCGTTTACACACTTCCAGCAGACACAAGCCGATGTTAAAAAGTGTGTAACAGAAAGTGAACGTTTTGCTGCTATGCTATTTCCAGTTTAGGGGTTGCTGGAATGTCAGCCAAATCAGAAAATGTATTTATACTCTGATGCTTTGATAGATATGGCAGAACATTTGGGGGGGGGGGGGTCAGAGAAATGGAGTCACCAGATATGATGCTGCTGCTAAAGGAGAAACTTCTCATAATATTAGCCAGGAATATTTTTTTTCCTATATTCCTGATTGAAGGAGAGCCCCTTGCGATCCACCAAGAAGATCCAGCAGGCTGCTATTGGATTCCATGGAAAATACTGGATTTCCCTGGTGGACTTGATTATTGATTGATGGGCTATTTATTAATTCGATTTGAAGAGCCACCCATCTCACCTTTGGGGCTCTGGGCGGCTCACAGAATTAAAGCAACCACCCAAAAGGATAAACCGAGTACGGATGAAATGATGGGAAGAACCTGGGATGTGGCCTCCTAACCCAGAGTGGATGGAGAAGCTCCTATTGGGGGCTTGAGATAGAGTGGCTTGTTGTATTATAATGCGGTTTTGCTGTCAATGGATTTTGGGATTCATCATTCAGTGTAGACCATGGGAGGTGAACTCTATGTGTCAAGTGGTGAACATTCAAAAAGTTAAAAGGGAGGAATGTGGGAGAACCATTTTGGGACAACAAAGGTGTCCTGCTCCACTTTGGGTGCATTGGGGAACGTAACCACAAGTCTAAACCAGTGTTCCTCAACCTCAACAGCTTTAAGATGTGTGGACTTCAATGCCCAGAATCCCCGAGCCAGCTGGGGGATTCTGGGCATTGAAGTCCACACATCTTAAAGCTGTTGAGGTTGAGGAACACTGGCTTAGAGGAAAAATCTGCATCTTTAAAGCCCGTGACGCCTTGTAGGATGGGGTGCGGTCATTTGCCCATGAGTTCTCCAAACACAAGAGGCCAGGTACGGCATCTCCTCATCGCTTCTCTTATCACCTCTCAGGTTACTGAGATGTTTGGAAAAGAGCAGCACGGTTAACTGGAACCGGATCTGTGGAGAAAAGACTTGGGTGGGCAATCTTTAGGTTGAAAGGCACACCTGTTGCAGAATCGAGGGACAAGACCACCGTTTTTGGGGTGGGGGAGAGGCTGAGAGGATAATCGGCAAGGATCTAATATAAAGAGATGCTCTGAGGGTCACCCACAAGGCATTAAGGTAACAGTCCTCTGATTTGGTGCCCTCTGGTTCCCATCAGCCACTGTGGCCATGATACTCCCTATGGGTGATTGGAGTTGGAGGACACCAGCTGCACTGCCATCAAAAGATGGGGGGCTAACTCAGCTGGGAGGCCATAACTGTCCTATAAACTGCTCTGTTTCTTCCCTTCTTCTAAGAACTTACGGTAGTTCCATGAAAGAGACGTCTTTCTCCTGTGGATCATTGTTTGGCCGTGCCCCCTTCAAAAACGATTGGGCAAAAGTGCTTTGGACCTTGTGGGGGGCCAGCTCCTCTCTGCTCTTTGGTTTTCTTTCCAGGCCCCCCCTACCTCCAAAAGACCCTGCCGGGCTAAGAGTCGCATGAAAGATGTGCTGTGTTAATCGCTGGATTCATTAAAGCAGCTGCATCTCTGTGAGGCTCACGCGAGAGGCTGGAAAAGAATGGGCAGTTTCAGTTGCTAGCAGGGGGACGGTGGGCTTGCCCAAGGCCCAGAGCACTTTTTCTCAAACATTTTCAGGGTTTGGTGTTGAAATGATGAAACCTGAAACGAACATGGGGAACAGGATTTCACACTTTATCGGTAGCATTAGTGTTGGGTTTCGTTTTTGTCTTTTTTGGGTGGAAACCAAATTCTTTACTCCCCTGGCTTTTCATAAAGGTATTTCTAGATTCTTTCACTTAGAAAATAAACTTGCTTTTTTTTTTTTAGTCGGCTGCGGGCTAATTTCTTTTAACTCCTTAACTGCTCCAGTTTGTTTTCTGGTACCAGAGGCCGTACCCAATGTGGCATCCATTTGGTGCGAGTGTTTCTCAAAATCTCTGAGGTTCCTACAGAGTCAAAAAGATTGGGGAGCCCTACCCAGGAGCATCTGCATGGGGGTGGGTCGAAAAAGTCAAGATGGAGTCCATATCAGTGGAGGCAAGTTCAAGAAACAGAAACATCAGGGGTTCCAAGAATACTCTTTACTGTTGTAGGGTAGAATAATAGGAGCTTGTTATACTCCATCTTATACCAACCAAAATCAAGATGGGGTTATCTTGATCTTAGTTTTCATGCTTTCCTCCTTTTCAGGACTGAGTCAGTTTTTAGAGATGGGATATGGGATGAAGAGATAATTGGTTGTAAACTAAGAAGGGGTGAAGAGATACAAAAACGTTTATACTTGTTGTGATTAAGGTTGGAAGTCGTTTCTTTATATATTTTTTTCTCTCCTCACTATATACTTCCTTTCCTTTCCTTTCCTTTCCTTTCCTTTCCTTTCCTTTCCTTTCCTTTCCTCCCCTCCCCCCCCCTCCCCCCTCCCTTCCTTCCTTCCTCCCTCCCTTCCTTCCTTCCTCCCTCCCTTCCTTCCTTCCTCCCTCCCTTCCTTCCTTCCTCCCTCCCTTCCTTCCTTCCTCCCTCCCTTCCTTCCTTCCTCCCTCCCTTCCTTCCTTCCTCCCTCCCTTCCTTCCTTCCTCCCTCCCTTCCTTCCTTCCTCCCTCCCTTCCTTCCTTCCTCCCTCCCTTCCTTCCTTCCTCCCTCCCTTCCTTCCTTCCTCCCTCCCTTCCTTCCTTCCTCCCTCCCTTCCTTCCTTCCTCCCTCCCTTCCTTCCTTCCTCCCTCCCTTCCTTCCTTCCTCCCTCCCTTCCTTCCTTCCTCCCTCCCTTCCTTCCTTCCTCCCTCCCTTCCTTCCTTCCTCCCTCCCTTCCTTCCTTCCTCCCTCCCTTCCTTCCTTCCTCCCTCCCTTCCTTCCTTCCTCCCTCCCTTCCTTCCTTCCTCCCTCCCTTCCTTCCTTCCTCCCTCCCTTCCTTCCTTCCTTCCTTCCTTCCTTCCTTCCTTCCTTCCTTCCCTCCTCCTCCTCCTCCTTCTTCTTTCTTCTTCTTCTTCTATTTTTTTTCTTCTCTTTTACACTATATCTTTTATAGATATAAATTTAGATAGGATGGAGTCAACTTTTCTGAAATGCTTTCCTGAACCATTCAAACATACCTTCCTCATTCCCAAGACCAGGTCCACATTCTTTCACAGGCCACAACTGTGTGATTAAAGCCCTGCACCTTTTTAATGTCTGTTGCACATGCAACGTGCATGAAAAAGGGGGCGCGGCTTTGATTGTGCCCCCACAGCCACTATCTTGAGTGTTTGACCCTCCTGTGGGTTCCTACTCCAACATATCTAGCAAGCAGCAGGACCTGAAGAACTCTCTGCCTCAAGCAGATTCTGCCTGGCCCCTGTGCATGTGCAAAGAGCGGCTGCTGAGTGAATGGAAATGTAGTCTTCTCTCTATAGATTCCTCTCCCTTGGAGGCCCGCCTGGCACCCTTCTTAATCAGTCTTCAACAAAAGGGTGAAGATGATTTTGCTTGAGAGATAATTTGGGATATGGGGGAATGACGGAGGGGGGAGTGGCTGACCATTTTATTATAATGTAAATTTATTTTTTTCGTTTTAATGCTTTATTGTATCTTGCTAGGGACCTCACCGGTAGGGTAAAAATATTGTAAAATAAATAAATAAGCCAGCAAGTGTATGGTTGAAAAGATGACTATAAATGACCTGCAGGTTTATTTCCTTAAATTGTTATTTGGGCATTTTTATAGCCAGTCTAATTCAAAAATCTCCAGGCGGGCCACGACAAAATTCTCACCACAACCATGCAATAAATCAAATGCATAAAAGCAGTGGTAACAGTAAATCAGCAATAATCAGTCAAGCCTCCTCCACCAAGATGGACACCAATAAAACCTTGAAAGGTTGAAATAAAGTGGTGAAATAAAATGGTATTTAAAAATCCTCTAAAAACCACGAGGGAGGACGTTTTTCAGACTTCTGGGGTAAGGACTTGGAAAGTGTGGGGGCTGCCTCAGCAGAGGCCTGTCATCTCATCCACATCTGGGTCGCTTTAGAGCAGTGTTGTCCAAACTTGGCCACTTTAAGATGAGTGGACTTCAACTCCCAGAATTCCCCAGCCAGCAAGGAGTTAAAGTCTGGGAGTTAAAGTCCACTCATCTTAAAGTGGCCAAGTTTGGACAACACTGCTTTAGAGGGAGGGGTCCGTCCCCAAAAGTTCTCCCTGGGGAGGCAATTCAGCTCTTGAAGGGGGTGGCCGATATTCTGAAATGCTTTCTTTTCGCTCCCCCAGCAGCGGCTGTCTCCCAAAACTGGCCAAGGACCATGATGTCCGGAAACCAGACCGAGAGCTGGTCCCAGAAGCTGGAGGTGATGCTGAGGGCCTTGAACCGTACCCTCTCCCGTGTGGACCCGTGTCCCCACCTGGGCAAGGAAGACAAGGAGGAGAAAGACTCCTACGCCTACATGTACATCCTTTTCGTGATGATCCTGTTTGCGCTGACGGTTGGGAGTCTGATCCTCGGCTATACCCGTTCCCGGGAGGTGGACAAGCAGAGCGATCCCTACCACGTTTACATCAAGAACCGGGTGACCATGATTTGAGGGAGGGAAAGAGGAGGACCCATGGATTCCTCCACGCCTTCTCTGACCAGGGAAGTCTCTTGTTCACGGTGCGTTGAGTCTCTGCATCAAGACTTGAGGAACACCTCTGTTCTGACGAGCGGCAAAACTAACATGTGGGGAAAGGAAACAGGGCCTGCAAAGAAGCTGTAGGGGGTGGTAGGGTTGACTTAAGCTACACATTTACAAGGGCTGGGTTTTGTGATTTTTTAACGAACTTTCCTAATAGTAAACTTTATGGATCTGCCTCTTCCTACCAGTAGCCAATAAACAAGCTGGAATGCAGGAATGGTTCAGGATATTTATTTATTTACTTACCACATTTGTTAGCCACCTCAACATTTGAACATGTTGGTAGATCTTCTTGTGCAACAAGGTTGGAGGGAGATATTTCTCTCTCTGTCTCTGTCTCTCTCTCTCACAGACACGCACACTTGTCCTTTCCACATTATGCAAGCCATAGTTTACTGAATAAACCACCATTGCATGGGTTTACAGGGCCATGCATCCGGGGTCTTGGTTATAAACCATGCCTCTCAGAACATAATTGGTTGGTTTCACGCAGAGCGCTTAACTGAAACCAAATTGAATTATGGCTGAGCGTGCTTCTCTTCCACGCGGAGCAAAACTCGGAGCCAAAATCCAACTTAGGGCCATGCTGTAAATGGCTTTTGAATGAAAACAGATGTGGGTGGATCCCGTATTCCCTCTGGAGCAGCGTGAGAGATCTCTTGGGAGCAACTCCTGAGTTATGTTAATGCTTTGTTCCCTTTCATCACGGGGAACTTCGGTTCCCCCTGAAATGCAGCAGATTAACTCAGGGTGGGATTTTCAGAGAAATAGAAGGAAAGAACTGGGTATCCTCCAATATTATTGGGGGTGGCTGGGTCAGAAAAGTCAGGATGGTGGCTGCAATTGTACAATAAAGCCCACTCTTTTTTTATGGGCATCATGGACCTATCTTGACTTTTATGCCCTGTCCTGCAGGCACTGCTGGCATCTTCCCTAGGTGGGCACTGTTACTCCAATCCCACCCACCCTAAGTGGCTGATCTCTAAGGAGTTCTAATAATAATGATTGATTAAATTTATATGCTGCCCAGCTCCCAGCAACTCCCAGCAAACTGGCAACCAGTGCAGCTTGTGAAGCAGAGGTGTTACATGGGCATAATGAGTCATGCCCATCACTGCCCGCACCGCTGCATCCTGGAGCAGCTGAAGCTTCTGGGTGGTCTTCAACGGCAGCCCCACGTAGAGGGCATTGCAGTAGTCAAGCCATGAGGTGGCCAGGGCATGACTGACTGTCTGGAGGGCCCCCCGATCTAGGAAAGCGCGCAACTGGCGCACCAGATGAGCTGTGCAAAGGTCTTCCTGGTCACAGCTGCCACCTGCTCATTGAGCAGGAGCTGGGCGTCCAGGAAGAACCCCAAGTTGCACACCAGCCTTGAGTGAGGAAGTACCACCCCATACAAGGTCAAAGATGAACTATCCACAGATCCAGGAGGCCCAAACAGCCACAGCCACTCACTCTTGGTAGGATTAAGTCAGAGACAGAGTCAGTTTCTCCCTGTCCAAATCTGCCTCCAGGCCCTGGAGCAGTACCTCAACAGCCTGTCTTGGCCAGCCTGGGGTTGAAAGATGTAATTAAGTAAGATGAATGCTGACATGTCTGTACATCCCATGGCGTCTGGTCTGAAATGTTTATCAAGTAGAGCAGGGATTTTCAAGCTTTTTCACAGAACAAGTTAGTCAAAAATGAAATCCCCCAGTGATAGACAACCGCATTCAGATGAACTTTGTATTTGTCCTTAATATCTCATGGAACTCCATCAAGTTCTTGCATTCTGCAGAACAGTTTGAAAAACCCTGAAGCAGAGGACGAATAAATCAACATGCTTTAAACCTTTGCCCAAAGTGCTATGCTCGGTTCAAAGAAAGGAACAGGACAACAGATTTATTCACCTTGGGAACCACCCCAAAGTAATTTATCCCAAAAGTTGGCAGCAGAAACCTATGAATGTCTCCTTTGTTTACCTTGAAAAAAATAATAATCATAAATAAAATGGTTGGAAGGCGGTTTTCCAGCTTGAAGTCAATGCACCCAGCAGCTGATAGGTAGGTCTTCCTTGTGGACTACCAAACTCATCCTTTTCTTTCCTTGGTGAGAATGGGCTTTATTGCATCTTGAGATGCTTCCTGCAGAACTAAACAATTTTATGGAGGCAGTAGAATTGCACAATCTGGAAGCAGGTTGCTCTTCACAGGTTGCCTATGACATGTCATTCCTTCCTCTGGTCCACCATGCCTGTGAGTATCGTTGCATAAAGGTCACTGTGGCAAGAGGAGGCAACCCTATAAATCTAAATAAATAAAGAGATGGGGAGGCCTTGACTGGAGGTCTAATAGGCTCCCCAAAACAAAGACTCGCTTCCAAAATAATTCTTCATCCAAGGGTAACTTGGAATGGAGAATTTGCTCTGGGTCCAAAGTCAACTCTTCAGCCCAGGTCTCACACGGTACCAAGCCTTGGTTTCTCTCTTCCCATAAAAGACACAACGGGTTGGGTTGAAAGAGGCTGTCAAAGTTGCAAAGATTTAAGCCCAAGTATGTTCTCTGATGGGGCTGACATTTAGCAGAACAAAGGCCAGGCTGAGTGGGGATGGTGGGAGATGTAGTCCTATGCCCCTGGAAGAAGCCATGTGGGAAACAGCTACTCAGTGCCACCCTTTCTCACGTGCCCCAGGAAAGTCTCAGATAAAATAAGGCGAGGGCTGAGATATGAAGGATGTTCTTGAGGAGGAAAAGCTTGGGAAGGTCAGATTTGCTGGCCAGCTTGGTAGAGAGCTCCGAATTCAGATGACAGGAGGCAGGGGGAGACCAGAGTGCCCATGAATGACCTTCATCCAGCTTTCCCATGCTGGTCTCATCAGTTGGGTCTCCAGCCTCCATCACGTTGACCACAGTGGTTGCAAATGAAGGGAACTGCAGAGGGCAATGAGAGGCAGCTTTGATCCCCTTTGGGCCAACAAGGACCAGAATCATTTCCAGAATCCTGAGAAGTCACCAGACTCCATCTCTCAGTGCAGAATTTCAGTGACAGGGAAGGAAGGGCCCACACCCTCAGACCGGGAGGTGTTTTCCACAATTTGAGGAACAGGGAGAGCTAAGGAAAGGAACGTGCTATGACATGAGCAACAACCTGCTTAAGCAAGCTCGAGAGGCCAGGATAAAAACCACCAGCAGACACCTTTTGCTCTCACTAAACAAGAGAAGGCTGAAGGGACACCTCAGAACACAGTTGATTTAGCACAAGGACCAGCAGATAGCAGCTTGATGGGGGAGACCCCAACTCAAAAGGAGGAGGAACTTCCTGGCTGGGAGAGCTATGAAGCAGGGGAAAGGTCTCCCTCCTGGAGTCCTGGGAGCTCCATCATTGAAGGGCTGCAAGCCATGGTTGGACAGCCCTCTGTCTGGGATGGTCTGAAGACTCCCATGGGAAAAGGGTTGGGCTAGAAGACCTCCACCCCTTTCCTCAGTATGTTTTTACAGAGAATCAAACTCAGGGGATGGGAGAGACCAGACAGCTGCTTGAGTTCCCTCATGCTATCTTCCCTGATCTGGCATCCTCAAAACCAGTATTTCTCCAGCTTGGTGACTTTAAGACGTCTGGAGTTCAACTCCCAGAATTCCCCAGCCAGCCATGCTGGCTGGGGAATTCTGGGAGTTGGGGTCCAGACATCTTAAAGTCGTCAAGCTGGAGAAACACTGCTCAAAAAGTTTTGGCGCACAGCTCCCCTCCTTCCCCACAAGCAGACGAGGGAAGGCTCAGAAGTGGTTTGGCCAACGCAGAGCAGAAGAGGACAAGGGTATGAGACACAGGGTCTTGGTAGCAGAAGAGGCCCAGAGAAGCCCCCAAGGGTTGGAGGGCAGACACCTTCCAGGGCTAAATGCAGGCCTGGCCCAACGTGGCCCTGCCAAGGGCAAGGCAAAACCCAAACTGTGGAATGGAAGGGGTGGGAGAGGTCCCACAGGTCATCTAGTCTATCCCCGTCCAGGGCCAGAATCCACGACTGCAGCATCCCCAGCGAGGGCTGTCCAGCTTCTGTTTGAACACTTGCAACCGAAGAGAGTCCACCACCACTGGTTCCATTATCTGAATATGTCTTACCCTTAGGAAACGCTTCCTAATGTCCAACCGAAATCTACACCCTTATAATTTAAACAACTTTTTTCCGACAGTAGAACTGACGTTTCATCTCTTCCCCGATGTCGCAATATCATTTTATAAACCATGTATCATAGCATGTCATATTGGTTTATTGCTGTCATGGTTTTCCTTCTATTTCTCTCATGGTTTTAAAGGTTACAGTGTCGCTGAGAGTCGCCTGGATGATTGAGGCTGCTTCTAAGTCAAACGAATGACCAAATAAAAAAATACATTTTTGCTAAAGAAAAGGAAAGCAAACTAGAATTTTCCTATCTGCAAACATGCGTGATAAAAATTAGCAAAATTTCCCATATTCCAGTGTAGGAGGCTGCAATCCGTGAGCACTTTTGAAGTCTTTATTTACAGTGTGTCCTTCTGAAGGAAGAATGAATTCATTTGTCTCCGCAGTTTGGGTTCTCCCCTTCATTCATGTATTAATGCTTTTGTAGTCTTGTCTTGATCTGTTCTTCTGGAGGCTGCTTCTAGATGAAAAGAAAAAGAAAGAGAGAGAGAGAAACAGATACAACACCCCATCTTGAGCTAGGGGGGTAGGAAATCTGGCTTCATCTCCCTGCGGGACACAGCTTCGTCCGCCTGGTTTCATCAAAGCCGTGTCATGCCCATCCAGTTTCAGTCCGTCTCCCTGTCTAGACCACCTGTCTATTTCCCTGCCCACCATTCGCAGGCAGAAAAGAGTTTTTCCCAACAATTCCCCCTGGAATCCTTTTTAAGGGTGATGTCAGGGACCCTTGCAAAGATTTGGTGCACAAGATGTTGGATTTAATGGTCCATTTCTTTATAGCACTTATGGCTTATAGGTGGCTTATAAGACAATAACATGACACACAACAGGTAGCAACTTCTGGCTGGCCTTGTGTGAACTCAGAAATTAAGCAAGGTCAGGCCCACGTAGTATTTGGATGAGAGACCTCCAGAGAATCCAGCCTGTGGACCACCCCAGCAGGCCCTCAAAATGTTCTAGAGCAGGGTTCCTCAATCTCAGCGACTTTAAGATGGGTGGACTTCAACTCCCAGAATTCCCCA